TATAATCCCTGTCCTTTGTCTACTGCTTTACAACCTAGAAATTGTTTTCAAACACAAAGGTGATCTTTTAAAAGTACTAAAGTGATCATGTTACCCATACATGCCACTCTTAATGGCTTCCCACTAGACTTTGGGTAAAGACCTTATGGGGCCTACACCAGGCCCTGCACATCTGGCTCTTGCTTTCCTGCCCCATGCTCATCTCACCAACCCATCCCCCCAGCCCCACACTCCCCTCCTTTCCTCCACCCCAGCTCCAGCCTCAAAGACCTACTTCCACTTTTTTGACCCCCAGGGACTTTGCTCAGCCTGGAATGTTCCTTCTTCCCTCCCCATTGAACCACCCACTCCCACTCTAAGACTAATGCCTCTGTTACATGCCCTTACTGTACTTATCTCAGTTAATAATTATCTACTCATTTAGGAAATTATTGATGAAGATCTTCAATGTCAGCTTTCCAGAGAGCAGGAACCATAGCTGGTTTTGCTCACTTAATGAGGTTTCATTCTTTGTAACTCTTTTTTTATTTAAAGATAAGAAGCCATTGGATTATTTTTTCATTTATCCCCTCTTCACTGAAGGGCCAGGGTCACTAAGTAGTAGGAGATTTTGAACTATAATTCAAGGAACAGTGAGTTGTAATTTTACTTCCCACTTTCATATGAATTCTCCATGTGACCTTGGGACCATACTTCCCCTGTAGCCTGTTTCCCCTTTTATAAAAGTAAGAGTTTAAACTAGATGATCTCCAATGTGCATCCTTCTCTAATATATAATTCTAGAACCTTCAACAGACTAAAACAAAGCAGAAGAATTAAAAATTAATTTAAAATAACCGAGGAAAGAAAGCAGCTATACTAAAGAAAAGAGAAGTCCTTATGGTTGATGGAATGTACATGCCCATGTCTGGATCCCATTTAGTAAGCTTGCAACCTCAGGCAGATTGCTTAATCTCTCCAGATCTTGACTTCCTCTCTGTAAAATGTGATAAGAATGCCTACCTCACAGGTTCGATGAGAGGATTCAGTGAGATACTGTACTATAATGCCTTGAATGTGGCCGGCTGTTATGTTAAGTTCTTTCCTCCTTCTCCCTAATTGTCATGGAATTCAAAAGCAGATTATAACTAAATAGGGCATGAGTTGAGACTAAAGGCTCAATTGTCTCTGTATGTGATGGGTTATGTATGTTTATTGCTCTGAAGAGGTTTTATACCACCTGAAAAGAAATAATTACATCCCCCTGAAAATTCACAGGGAAGATTCGTGTTTTTCTCTGCATTCAAGTGATTCTGTCTGACTCAGCTACATTCAACAATTTTAAAGTTGGCTCCAAAGATGTTAACAGATGTTTCCTATCTTCATGGTACAATGGAAAGACCAGACTCCACCGATGACCATGTACTCAGCCACCTTCACTCTGTTCCTGTATATCACAGAATAAAATGAGATTTCACTGGAGGAGAGGGGAGGGGAGATATTTCAAACTTTTTCTTTCTTTCTTTCTTTTTTTTTTGTTACAAGGATCCTAGAATCACTAAATGATAAGGTGTCTGAGGTGTGAAGGACCTTAAGGATGATCAATTTCAGCCCTGTCACCTGGCATTGTTGGTGATAAGGGACTCAAGCATTTATATGCAGTGGAAAGAGAAGATTGGGCTTAGAATCAGAAACTTAAGTTCAAATTCAGTTTTGTGACCTTGGGTTGGTCACCTAAAGCAATTGTACCATGAAAAGCATCACCATGATTCTTTGAACCCACAAGCTCTGATCTCATAAAGTGTGTCCACTCATCTGCCAACATATATCATCTCATCTCGCATATCTCATTTTGTGGATCATGAAAGAAAAGTGCTGATTCTTAGCAAAACCCATGGCACAGAATAAGTGCACAGTAACTTTTTTCTGAATAATTTAAGTGACAATGACTCAAGAAAGATTTTTAAGGCCTCCTCCGAGTTGAGAGATGGGTGCCTGAAGCCACCCAAAGTTCCTGTCACGGGATAGTCCCCAGCACACACAACCCCTGGCCCCAGTAGAATCCTCCCCAGTATGTTTCTCTCCCCCTTCCCTAGAAGGGATGGTCTGGGAAAACTTTGTTCACACTCCCAGAAAAGCAGGCTCCCCAAAGCAATGCAAGGACCTTTCTTTAAAGATTCTTCCTTTAAAAACCCATTTTCAAGAAGGTCATGTGAAGAAAAAGTTTGAATGATCCTTTAACCCAAATTGGCTGTTTCTCAACCAAACTCTCCTTAAGAAATTCAACAACCACATTTGGGGAATTCTCTACAACAGATGAATGAAGATGGGGACAGGATGGGTGTTGCCACTGACGGTAGAACCAAGGGTGTTTTCCTGGATTACCAAAGAGGTGCTAAGTATTGTTCCCAGAAACTAACCATCTTCAGAGTTTCAATGGCGGCCTTCACCTGAAAATGTCCTCCCTGTTGAAGTTTTCAAACCAATATTTTCATAAGAACAATATTTTCGTCGGTGAACTAAGGTATTACGGTAATGACTATATGGGTTCCCAAGTGACTGAAGCCATCATTAGTATTGTTATTATTTTTGTTTAGCTGCATCTCCATAGCAGCAACATTCACAATGTGCTTTGCAATTGTTTCTTAGTAATAGTCCTCCCAAGATCCCCAGAAGGCAGAGGAAGGGACCCGGACTGATGCCTGAAGGGGAACCAAGGTAAACAGAAATGTAGAGAGTTGGCTGCCATCATTGTTCATACGACACCCACGCTTCTGCCCCAGTCTGGTCCTACACTTACGTTGCCTAGGTCCAGGATGCTGGTTACTTCTGTGGCTCTTGTTATCGCTATTATAACACCAAGTCTATGTCTAGGAGAAACTAGACTGAGCATTAGAATCAGAGTCAGAGATTTTGCCCATGAAATAGCCTTTATCATCATATAACCAATGCCATGTTTTAGAGTTAAACAGGACTGGAGAGAATACTTCATCCAACTCACACAAGCCACTTTACTCCCAGTTCCATGCTTTTTTGCTTGTTTATACCATGTTTCAGTGTCTCATTTTTCTCTTTACCTTTTTTCTCTCCTCTACCCTCTTCCTCCATCCATTTCCTTCCTTCCTTCCTTCCTTTCTTTTTAGAGATGGGGTCTCACTACATTTCCCAGGCTGGAGTAAGGTGGCACAATCATAGCTCACTACAGCCTCCAACACCTGGGCTCAAGCGATCCTCCACCTCAGCCTCCTGAGTAGCTGAGACTATAGGTGTATGCCACCATGCCTGGCTCATTTCCTTTATTTAAAATTTATGTGGCTTAAACTCCAGTGAGGAAACCTGAAACATTTGTTTGCTAAGACTCTGGTGTTCTAGCTCCTGAACCAGGCTGGCCTTGGGAAATTGAGAAAGTCTTTAATAATAATGACCAGGCAACACTGGTGCAGTCTCATATGTAAGAATCCATGCCCTCCTCCTCTCTCCCAACCTCCATTCCCAAATTTAGGTACTGGCTTCTGGCTGGGACCTTGCCCGTGCCTCCTGGAGTCCACAGTTGCCCTTACACACCTTGGGTTTATGCTAGAGAAGAGCAGACTTCTCTCTGGGCTCTAATAGAGGGCCAATTTTCTTAACATGACTAGGGTTGAGACTTCTCTGCTGAAGCTCTGTCACCTCAGTAGGAAATGTGTTGACGATACACGGAGCAATAAGAGGATCACTTTTTGTGATCAGATATCACTTTTCTCTCCTCTACCCTGCCCTCACCAGGAGGTTGTCACCCCAAACTCAGAGTGATTTATGTCTTATTCAAGCAAACCTCCCTCCTCTGAAAAGATGGCTCATTTTCCCTCAAATGCCATCCATTAAATCGCCAGGGGCAGCCAGTGTTCCACCAATTCACACTCAGCCCATGGGCATAATCAACAAATTAAACCAAAACACAAGCTACAGCCACTAAGCTTCTCTCCAAATCTAGGCGCCTATACTTCTGATTTCAGGATTTCTCCCTTCCTCCTCCGCTACATGTCTTTAGAAACTTGATAAGTTTCCTGCTCTTCTTCCCTTTTTCTAATACATGTTTATAATAGTATAGAGCAAAGCCATCAATAACCCCTGGAATATCTGTAAACAATACTATCACATGTGCCATCTTCATTATTGTAGCCAGTATCAAGTTAAACAAACATAGAAATTAAAATTCTGAACAAACCAGAATTATTCCCTGTGAATTCCCCGTGACGCAACTCGCTTGTGGCCACGCCTACCCAGGACAATTACAAAAGGGCGAAGAAGCCTGACTCAGGCTGAAGCTTCCAGCCAGAGAGGGAGTCATTTCATCAACACTTGAGTCAGCAAAGGTATTATCCTTATCACATCTCTGGCTTTTCAAGTACTTTTTTGTTTTTCTCCTCAGCTGTTTTCTCTCAGACTGCCTGCCTTCTCTAAAACGACAGCCTCTCCCTTCTTTCTTTTCTTTTCTCTCCCTGGTTTGGTGTGTGAGCTAGAATCACAGTCCGATTTCAGAAAATGATTTGCTCTTTTTACTGATGGGAAGCTGGGGAACGGAAGAACTAGCTTCCTGTGAAGGCATCAGTGGGTACAACTGAGCCTTCCCTTGGGAAGAAATCTCTACTACCAACAATTATTAGGAGAAAATTGAACATTTCCAACTCTGTCTCTCTCTAGCATCTGTGTAAGGCAAATACCTTATTCTTGTGGGGTTATTTTTTAACTGATTCCAACTTTCATTGAATACCTACTATATGCAACACGTTGGATTCGGCACATAAGGAATGCCAAGATAAATAAAACATTCTGAAAGAAGCGTACGATCTGATAGAGGAGGCAGATGCATATAAAAATAATTCAAGAGGGTGAGAAGAAGAATGGGGGAAATGCTATGGGTGGACTAAGTCATTCAATGAATTTTCTCAAGAAGCACAAAGTGGACATGTCTCCCCTTGCAGGCGTCTGGTTCAGAGGCTGTCTCAGCTGACGGCCACAGGTGTTCTCCGTTGCAGAAGTTAAGATGGCCAGAGTCCCTGACCTGTTTGAAGACTTGAAGAACTGTTACAGGTAAGAAATAAGATTCTATCTCCTGTGACTTAACAAGGGGTTCAAGGCTCATCAGAATCCAGCTAGGCATTACAGTGGCCAGCATGAAGCCAGGCAGAGGCTCTAGAGATATGCGCTAGCCCTGAAGTCAGAGCAGGTTCAGAGAAGACCCAGGAAAACTAAGCATCCAGCATGTTAAACTGAGATTACACTGGCAGGGAGACAGCCATTTTGGAGAAATTAGTTTTGAGGTCTGCTGAGTCCTGTGCAAATTTCATCACCAACTTAGACAGCCTCGGTTGAGTTAACATGCTCTGATACAGGAATAGGTTTTAATAGACTGTGAGAGAATCCATTGTCAGGAAAACTCGATCTCAGTTGGGAGGAGAAAATGGCTCCACAGCAATTTGAGCCTGTGAATACACATGCACAGTCCAACCTCATTCAGACATAGAAGAAATGTAAATGAACAAAAAGTTGAAATTATGGAACGTGATATTCCTCTTATCTATACTAACACAAACTAGGCTGTGAAAATGTTGCCTGGATATTTTACCAAGTATGAATTATTAAATTTGTCTTAGTGAATACATGAAAGCAATATGCAACATATGATCAATTTGGTTAAAATCAAAATGAGATGCTTCAAAAGTATTATATTTCTTTTCTTTTAAGGAGCTTAGTATTTTTCCCTGAAATCAAAGCTCTTCAATTTATTAGCCAACCCCAATTGTTATAGCTAAAGCCCAGATAAAGTTCGAGGCCTGTCCGGATTACTATTCCATGTTAGTGAGCTGTGAATTACTGTATGTATGTATATGTATAGAAGTCCTTAATTTTCAAAGATGCCAGTAATGGCCATGTGTTTGTGTGTGTGTGTGTGTGTGTGTGTGTGTGCACACACGCACGTGTTGTTATCCAAAGCTAACATGGTCATTAAAATAGGTTGCCCAGGGACCATAATGAAATAACAAACAGTATTACATTCTCATCATCTTATTTTGACAGTGAAAATGAAGAATACAGTTCCACCATTGACCATCTCTCTCTGACTCAGGTGAGCAAATGACTGTAATTCTTATGGGATTGGTATCTTTATGCAGTAGTTCTTCAGCACGAGAGAAGAGAAATGGCTTGAATCTTAGATGCTTTTGTTTTAGCTTCACTAGAAGAGAGGAGACCTGCATTTCTTCATTATAAGTGAGGCCATCTGCCTCTCTAAACTAATAGTTGATGATATTCTTCATCCTCACCAGCTTTTCCCAGAATAGAGCAGAACTATCCCAGATCCCCAAGAACTGGAGTCTCCTGGGCCAGGTTTCATGAGGATGTTAGTTATCCCATCCTGGGACAGCCTCTTCAGGCTATTTCACCAGGAGTCTCTCTCTTAACGTGATACATTGTGGTTGTCCTCTCTGACACCAACATCACAGGTTAGAAGGCATCCTCCAAACACAATAGCCCATGAAGCTGAGGGACAGGAAGCAAGACAATGGAAAGTGGGAAATCTGCAACCACTCACCAAGCTGTGTTATTGTGTTTGGGGGCCACAAATAGACAGTATAAGTACTGCCTTGTCTATCTCTGGTACTGGCTTTAAAAGCTGTACCCAAAGGTGTATTTCTAAAATATTTTGAGCATTGTCAAGTAGATGTTTAAGCTCCTAAGAGGGAACTAATAGGAAGGCTACCACTCACTAAGATCATCGTTAACCTATTTAGTTACAACATCTCATTTTCGAGCATGCAAATGGATGGAAAATTCTTCCCAAGAAATCACATCCCTTCATCCTGGAAGGAATGAAGGAAGGGGGAGGTGAGAGGGAGCAAAAGAGGAGGGGAGGGAGAGAGGACTGATAAACGAGAGTTAACCAAGACCAAAATGGAGATCCTTCTCACTAAGTCTGCTGAATGTAGCTCCTACGCCATGGACAGCCTCTCAGTTTCTATCGTCTTTTCTCACAGAAATCCTTCTATGATGCAAGCTACAGCCCACATCATAAAGACTATATGGGTCAATTTATGTCTCTGAGTACCTTTGAAACCTCTAAGACATCCAAGTTTACCTTCAAGGAGAGTGTGGTGGTGGTTGCGGACAATGGGAAAGTTCTGAAGAAGAGACGATTGAGTTTAAATCAACACGTCACTGATGATGACCTGGAGGCCATTGCAAATAATTCAGAAGAAGGTAAAGCCTCGAGCACAATAATATCCTTGCTTTCCAGTTTTAGGTAAATTGGGAAAATAGCATATAGGAGAAAATAGAACCTGGAGTCAGAATAACAGGTGGGAAACCAAGCATTAGTCTGGTAACTAATTAATTTTTATCCTTCTCCACCAGGGAGGGATTAGCAGTGACCTGAATCTAGAATACTTGCTCATGGGCTCATCTCTGGGCCATATTGTAAAGGTCTGTGACTTTTACTCTTTCAGGAGAAAGCAGTTATATACTGTTAGTGGGTGCCCACATTGGGCATGTTATTTTCATCTTTCTGTGCCTCAGTTTCCTCTACTGTAAAATGGAGATAATCAGAGTCCCTGCCTCATTGGTTTGTGAAGATTAAATGAGTCAATACTCCCAAACTTCTGGACAAGAATAATGTCTGGTACCTAGTAAGCACCTGATAAATGTTAGCTGTTATTATTTCTACTGCTATCACTACTATGACCTTTATTAATACTACCAACACTACTGATTTATTAATGGCTGAATTAACTCTAAATGTCACAGCAACACTACATTGTCATTTTACATGAGAGGAAACTAAGCTCATTGAGATAAGTGACCTGCCCAAAGGCTCACAATCTGTAAGTGAGAGAGCCTCAAATCTAATTCAGTTCTATCTGACTACAAAAATCACAGTTTTTCACCCATGGCTTTACTGTTCAAGCCTCCATATGAAACATAAACCTAATATTTCTGTGTTTAGGGTAACATCTAAGCAATAATACATGTCCACCTAGAAGGTTTAAAATGTGACAAAATATAAGAAAATAAAAATTGCATATATTGCCACTCAGAGTTTATCACTGCCAGCACTGTGGTACATTTCTGAAAGTCTTTTCTATATGCATATACACACATAAACAGCATGTCTAACATTATTAGGATCACACTATATCCAATTTTATATCTAGCTTTTTTCACTCAGCAATATCAAGAACATTTTAGAGTGCTAATTTTTTGCCAGTATAAGTAATGCAACAATGAACATTTATATCAGTAAATTTTCATTTCTGTTGCCATTTATTTCCTTAGAATAGATTCCTAAAAACAGAAGTACTGACAGCCATGAGGACTGGTCAAGCTATTGATACATACCACTTTCCAGAAAGGTGGTAGACCTGCACTCTGAGTGACATATATAATTTTTAGTGTATTCATTTTTTCCTGAGTGAGTTCATTTGAAAGTATAGATGGGGAATACTGGTAGTCTTCCTGGTCACTTAGAAACCTCCACACAATGAAAAATGAGAAAGTTGCACCAATAATCTCTTTTTTAAAAAGAACAACAAAACTGTTTCCTGAGGAATCAAAGTTTAAAAAGAAGCAAATACATAACCACAAGGATAATCCTAGAATCATTTCTCCTGCTGATGGAGTGATTTCACTTCTCTGTGTTTGCTCACCTGGATTGGAACATTCTTAACGTCCCTTCCAGAACTACTTTCTATGCTTGTACTCAAGTGTATATATCATCTGCGTTTATATGTAGACAGTAATATGAACTTATGATCATGGTCTTAGGAATCATCGAGCCCAGGTCAGCATCTTCCAACTTCCTGAGCAACATCAGTTACCGCTTTATGAGGGTCATCAAAGACCAGTTCACCCTGAATGACTCCCTCAGTCAAACTATAGTTCGAGCCCCCTCGGATGAGAACCTCTGGGCTGCTGCAATAAATAATAAGGACGATGCAGGTAAATGGCGAACTCTGTCATCTTCCCCTCCTTTTATTTATTTACTTATTTGAAGCTTTCTGCTTTCAAAAAAATATACTTCTGGCTGGGCGCGGTGGTTCACGCCTGTAATCCTAGCACTCTGGGAGGCCGAGGCGGGCGGATTGTTTGAGCTCAGCAGTTCGAGACCAGCCTGAGCAAGAGCGAGACCCCGTCTCTACTAAAAATAGAAAGAAATTAATTGGACAGCTAAAAATATATAGAAAAAATTAGCCGGGCATGGTGGCGCATGCCTGTAGTCCCAGCTACTCGGGAGGCTGAGGCAGGAGGATTGCTTGAGCCCAGGAGTCTGAGGTTGCTGTGAGCTAGGTTGACGCCACGGCACTCTAGCCCGGGCAACTCAGTAAGACTCTGTCTCAAAAAAAAAAAAAAATATATATATATACTTCTTTAGATTCCTGGTTTGCACAATTCTTCCAGAATAGGTTGAAGCACATCACTCCTGGTAAAAAATCTCAGGCTCACACCTGTAATCCTAGCACTTTGGAAGGCTGAGGCAGGAGGATCACTTGAGCCTAGGAGTTGAGGTTGCAGCTTTGATGATGCCACCGCACTCTACCCCAGGCAATAGAGAGAGACCATGTCTTAAAAAAAAAAAAATCTCAGGCAAGGACAGAAGTTTCAGCTATATCTGGAAGTTCTACAAGAAAGAAATTTCCTATTTTTGAGAGCACAAGGTGAAGTACAAAGCCTGCTGATTTACTATCTTCTTGATTCTTTCAGATATTTTTAACCCTCGATTTTAAAGATGAGGAAACTGACTCTCAGAAATCTTAAATGACTTACTCAAATTTACCCAAAAGCCAGTGAAGAACAATCAGTTTTCTTTACAAAGCCTGCTGATCAAACTTACAAATAATGCCAAACTAGAAAGACCTTTATTATCTTTGATAATATAGTTTGTGAGGCAAAACAACCAATAAGCTGCAAATACAGTCTAAAAGATGAAGTTTAGTGTGCAAAAACTTTTGTCACGCAGATCCATTTTCCATGGTGGACATGTTTTAGCTTCAGGACATATCAATAGTACACAAAATTATTTTTAAAGATGCAAAGAGAGGCCAGGGGTGGTGGCTCACACCCATAATCCTAGCATATTGGGAGGCCAAGGCTGGAGGATCTCTTGAGGCCAGGAGTTTGACGTCACAGTGAGCTCTGATGTTGCCACTGCACTCCAGCCTGGGGGACAGAGAAACACCATGTTTCCAAAAAAAAAAAAAAATCCAATGAGGCAACTGTGCAATAAATAAGCAGGACTTTTTCTGATTGGAAGTACTTCAGCTAACATGCTTTCCATTCTACACCATTTACAAATTATTTTGTGTTTTATGTTCCTACTTAATATTATTTCATACAATCTTCCCACATATTGACATCATGTATGTATTTGCCATTTTTAATGGCACTGGAGTATTCAACCATGTTTCTGTGCTGGTCCCTTGGGTTTGTTCTAAACAGCTCTGTTGCAAATATCTTCATAGACATTATTGTTTTTTCCCTATCTATTTATTTCTTTGGAGCATATCCCAAAGTGGAACTTCCAGATCAGTAGGCATAATAATTTTACAGCTTTATTAAACATCATTCTCTGAGGAAAACTGAACCACTTTTCAGTATCACTAGCAACATGTACATGTATCAGTTTCCTAAATCCCTCCGCTTTAAGTCATTACGAACTCCTGATCTAACAAATTGCAGGGTTTTATCCCACTATGTAATTATAAGAGATTCAACAAATACATATTTGGTTCCCATACATTCATTCGAGATAGAAAGTCTAAGAACCAAGTATTTACCTGCCTGGTAAATGTGGCAGACATTGGAAAGGATGCACAGGTGTATAGAATCCCATTCTGGACTTCCAGATATTCACACCATAGACGTGGACCTAACCACACACACACACACACAATGTCTACGTAAGCACTGATCTTATAAAAATAACACAATGGATTTACTTTCTTTTTGGCTATTCTCTTCACCAGTGAAATTTGACATGGATGGTTATAGATCAAGAGATGATACTAAAATTCCTGTGACTCTAAGAATCTCAAAAACTCAACTGTTTGTGTGTGCCCAAGATGAAGACCAACCTGTATTACTAAAGGTCAGTTGTCCTTAGTCTGCACTTACCCTCATTTACATCTCATACGTTTGTAAAAGAGCCCAGTAGGCACCGGCCCTAGCAGGGTGGCACTGTCCTTTCCCCTCCCTACCTCCTGCCCACACGACCCCACCTGGCTTCTCACCCATGCTCAGGCAATCCTAGGTAGGATCCGTGAGAGTACAATGGAGGTGGCAAGAGTGAACAAGAGCTAAATTGCCTGCTTCCTTTTTTTTCCCTTCCCCTGCATGACCCTACCCACCTCCCATCCCAGGGCATCCATTGATTCCATCAATCTTTACTGACAGCTATTATCTGACCTACATGATATTAGGCATTAGGACAGTGGGGCCTGCCTCCAAGAAACTCAAATAAGCCAACTGAGATCACAGAGGATTAATCACCTGCCAATACGCACAAAGCAAAAAGCTAGGAGCCAAGACTCAAACCCAGGCTTGCTGACTGCAGTGCCTCTCCCTCTTCAGAGGCACCAGCATTATCCTTTATCCCAGCCCCACCTCCACTACCACTGTGCCCCTCAAACATACAGGCTCACACATGCATGCCCATTGTAGCTTTAGATGTTTTCTCCACTGATGACTCTTATTCAGTAAATGTATAACCCAAGGCCTCCCATCCCCAGGTAGAATTTACGTGGATGTGTATGCTTCTCTAACTGGATCAAGCAAAATGAAAGTTGTATCTATAGAGTAAGGCAGTAGCTTCATTCATGAATTCATTCAACAGTCATTATTTATTGAGAGGCTTCTATTTTCCAAGCATAGTGCCAACAGCTGTATGGGCAGTGGTGAGTCAAAGCCCCTAGCATTATAGCACTTAGTCTTCTGGGGGACACAGGCACTAGACAAGCCAAACAACCAACAAAAAAGTACAAGATGCTGCAAAGAAAATGTATTGGGTGCTAAGACAGAGAAAAATGGGGGCATGCTATTTAGACAGTGTGGCAAGGGGAGAGCTCCTTGTGAGATGGGAGGTGCTGATAGGAGGGAGCATGCCATGTGGCGCAGGTGGAGTGGGCATTCTAAACAGAGGGTCTGAGTGCACCCGGTTGCCAGAGCTTCAGGATCTTTAAGGCCAGCTTCAAGGAGCAGAAAAATCAGTCTTGGAGCTGAGGCATTGTGAGAAGGAGGAAAAAAATGCAGTGGCTAGTGCTTGCAGAGCTTGCATTTGGATTTCGTTTTTTACAAAGAAAAGCCATTAAGTGGTTTCATACAGTGCAGTGTCATAACCTCACTTATATTTCCTAAAATGGAGAACAGATCAGAGGGAAGGAGAGAGAGAAAGCAGAGAACCCAATTAGGAGGTTATAACAGCAGCCATGGGTGGAGCAAGTAAGGAAAACAGGTGGAAAGAAATAGAATTGGGCTATATTTTAGAGATGGAATTGACAGGAGAAGAGGAGAAACTGCATTTACTGAGATTGGAACAACTAGGAGAGGAATACGTTTTGGAAATAAAATTCTTGCTGACATTTGAAACCCCAAGGAAACCTCAAGAAGGATATTTACTTTCTTTAGATTGAAAAGAATAGGAAAGAAGCATCTCAACTTGGAATCTGAAATCTATTTTTCCATGAAAGTATTTTTCCATGAAAGTATTGTTATATTCTATTCATACTCACAGGAAGAGTACATTTTCAAAAAAAATTGTATTGAAACGGTTTAACTACTGATAAACCTGGGAAGTTGTGTGTGTGTGTATGTGTTTAACCTTCAACTGTTGACTTAAATACAAAGATAAAGTCATCTAAATGCTAAATTGTTTTCCCAAAGGTATGATTTGCACACTTGGAGGTCAACATATTTAGGAAGCTTAGAATCACCAGTGCTCAGATTTGATGCAAAATGCCTTATGTCTATGTTGAAAGCCGGACATGAGCAATGTTCACACTTACCTGCCTGGATACAGTGAGACGCTAGTGCTGCTGTCATTGGCAGTCCTCATGAGTAACTTAGATCTCTGTCCAATCACCTGAGGAAATCAACACTTATGAATAGACTGGGTCATACATCTAATAGGCATTTAATAAATGCTTGCTGAATGAACAAATGAATGAAGAACCTATGTCATCACGTTAGAGCCATAGTCCTAAAGTGCCGTTTCTCACGAAGGCCAGATGCCAAGGCGTTGAGCTTCAGTTCTTTTTCTATCATCTGCTTGTTCTCTAACAGAATTCTGTTCTCCTTTCATAGGAGATCCCGGAGACTCCCAAAACCATCACAGGTGATGACACCAACATCCTCTTCTTCTGGGAAACTCACGGCAGTAAGAACTACTTCACCTCGGCTGCCCAACCACAGTTGTTTATTGCCACAAAGCAAAACAATGTGGTGCACATGGCAAGGGGGCTACCCTCCATGACTGACTTTCAGATACTGGAAAGCTAGGCTTAGCTTTTATTCTGCCCACTTACAAAGTGTTGACAGTCTGTATGTACCATGTACATGAAGAAGTCCAGTCCTTTACTCTTAGTCATTTGCTGAGCATGTGCTTAGCCTTTGTAATTCTAAATGAATGTTTACCCTCTTTGTAAGAGAGCAGCAAGGTCTAGTGGAACCAACACTAACAGGCAATGTTGTTTGTTATTTAAAGAACACCCCATACTTTGCACAGTACCAGTCATTTTAGTTATTATTCTTCATAACAATCTTAGGAAAACCAGGGCTACTGACTATTCCTACCAAAAAGACTCTACCCGTATTACAGATGGGCTGACTAAGGCATAAGAAAACTAAGAAATACACACAATAGCATTTGGAATGAGAAGCCATAGACCTAAGATTTAATTCCAACTGTTTGCCTTCTGTTGATGGATCTTAAATCAAATGGCGTAAGTTTCTGGGACTTTGGTTTTATCATTTTCAAAATGGAGGGAATAATACCTATATCCTTCCTGCCTCAATATTTTTTTATGCCAATCAGTGAGATCATTTTGGTAAAATACTTCTTGAAGCTAATCCTCAAGAAGATAATGCATGAAATATTTTTAAATTATTATTCTTGTGTATATGTATTTAT